TAAAAAAATATTTTTTTACTTGGAAAAATATGTGCATTTATTGTTTTTTAGTTAAAGGTGATTTTAGCCATTAACTTTAATACTATCACAAGGCGATTACCAAGCCCCATCTGATGGCAGTGCAGTGGGCTAGTGACCAGGTACTCTCTGTGGAGACATTGGGGATCTTTTTGACCCCAATATCTTTCACACCATCAAAGCAGCTATTTAAGCACAGATTGTGCTTGATTAGCTACTTCTCTGGCTGTAGCAGCAAGGGAATGACAGCTATGAAACCAGGAATGCTCAGAGATGAGCACATCCAGCTTTATTCACTGCAGAGGAGAATGAGAAACAAATATTCCCCTGTTCATTCCCACTCACCATCCTTAAACCCTTTGATGAAGTACCTGCCTCCTGGGAGAAGTGGGAAAGGCTGATAATCATGGAAGAGGGTGGCATCGGGGGGACCACACTGCCCACAGAGTAAAAGTGATCAGGCAGCCAAGGTCATTTTTATTTTATATCTTGGAGCCAGTTGAAGAAAACAAGAATATGTTCATGGAGTTACTGCAGGCATGAGATTGTGTTTAACCCTAAACTGTGAACTGGAGTAGTTAACCTTAGATAAACTCAAGAAATGAATGACACACTGGATATGGCATAATTTGCAGATTTCGTTTTCTTTCCCATATATGCTAGAATACTATCTTCATTTTGCAAAAAAAAAACTTCAGCATTCAATTTTAAGGTTAACATAGGAGCATCTGACAAAGTGTATTTTCAATTTTGCAGCCAAATATGGATAACACCTACTTTAGTTTGCTACATGTTCTCATTCATATAGCTTAAAAAAATTTAAAAACATTTCTGCCTAATTTCTTGTATCAAGGAAGAAGCCTATTCATTTGTCTTTGATTATGAGGGGGCTTGGTAGCTACGTTTGCCAAATATGCCATATATTGCCCTGTCTTTATTATAAGGGCAGATCTCTATTATCAATTTACTAGATATGAACGTGGTCCATCCTAGCAAAGGGTTAAAGGTGTAGAGGCTGTCCTTCTTGCATTGTATGTTAATGAAGACAGACTTGGAACAGAGTCACTCTGACATTGTTCAAAAACCTTGCAGTCAGCCATGGCACCTCCTCCTGAAAACATATAAAAAGGTAAGACATATTTTTCTTTTTTTAGGCATGTTGTTTGAATAGGAACATATAACATATAATTGGGGTTTCTCAAATTTGACTGCAAAAGCGCAAATATGCTTTAAGAGACCACAGCACAAAAAAGTGAAAATATATAGAGAAAGAAGTATTAAATCAGTGAAGCTTGGGATTTGTGACACCAATGTGTAAACATGCAGAGAACAACAATGGTTTAAAAAGAGTAGGCATCCCCAATTATAATTCAAAATGAAGGTACTCATTAGAATAATTTACAACTGTAACCTTGGGATGCATGCAAGGATCATACCTTACCTGCTGAAAAGTTCTGTTTTCCATGCAGACACTGCTGAACTGCACCAATCTACCATAGTGCCTTTTGTCTGTTGTCTTGTAACACACACTCTTTTGATGATTTTGGTACATCCAGATTGCTGTCTCTCAGGTAGAGAGATATTCCCATGTAAAAAATGCCAATAGTATGTTCCTTACAGTCACCAACTCATTTCAAACCTGCCTTGAAAATTGTGGATGATATGCAGGAAGAGAGCAGCGGTTTAAGGAGATGCATTATTACTACCCCCATAAAGGTGTAGGTGACTATCCTGCAAAAGGTATATACAGAACTCAAACGGATGTTCAGAGGTGACAACAGTAGTACAGCCGAACAGTTTACAGGATAGATTTTATTAGCTCACTGTATGCTTTCTCTTGTTGTGTGGAATGGTTCTTTAAAGTAGAACTATAGGCATTTTTTTTCTTCATTTTGGATAGTGTAAGGAAGGGTTATAACCTTTATCAATTTATTTTTTTGCCATCGGTGTCCCTATTGGGGAAAATTACTTTCACTTCCTATCGAATAGCCAAAATAGGAAGTGAGAGAAAATCCCTGCAAAGTAGTCTCCCTAGCGGTCTGATTATGTCCATATTTCTGTGCTCAAAGCGGTACTTTTTTTGCATGGAAATATGTATTTTTTTTTTATAGTAGGCCTGTAATTTTTAGGAATATGTCCGAACAAGAGTCTAGTAAACATCCCGGATATGTTAAAATTTGAAACACGAAATCATAAATTATAATTTAATAAATAATCATAAAAAATAATAATATAATAATAAATGTAATTCAATAATCAAACCAAAAACACTGAAATTTGAAATAGAGCGCCAAGTTCGCACATCACTGAGCAAAGTCGCAAAATCATTTTCAGTGTCTGATGACGAATTTCCCCCACGAATCATTATCACTCAATTCTGCAAGTGATTCCAATTTACTATCACTGTTCTCTAGCTGGTCTAAAACCGCTTTTGACCTAAAGGGGCGCTTTTTGGACACCATGGACATTTCTCAGTTTCCATGCAGAAAGAACAGTAAAATGCAGGCAGGGCACAGGACAAAGCACTCGGGACAAAATGTATGTGAAATGCTTTGATACAGTATCAATTACTATGTGATTTTAGTGAATTTAGTGAATGTTACTTTTACAACTTTCAAATTTCCCACCAGTTCCATCCCCGTACGTCCTGACGTCGAAGGGAACAGAACCCAGAAGAGGGATGCCGGCATCAGCCGGAGGACATTGCCGGGGACACTGCAGGAGGGACATCGCGGGAGCGCAAGACAAGATAAGTGAAGAAGAGATCCCAGATCAGCGCTGCAAGGTATTCCCAAGTGTAGCTCGAGGTTACCGCTTGTGGTGCTGAAACTTTACCCCGAGCTACACTCGGAAATACCACCAGGGAGGTTAAGGGAAATACTTGGGGACCCCCAGGTCGCAAGAACTAGTGTTCACATTGGATTTCCTATGTATTACTTTTATGGTTACAACCAAAAATGTGGGGTTTTCTTTTAATTTCACTTTCAATGATAATGGCAGTGACAATGGCAAACAGGACAAATAGAGAGAGTGAATCTGGGGCACAGAATGCAACAAAAACCATTCTAATCTATCTCCACTCTGTCCAAAACTAATGTTTTGCCTTTAAATATACTTTAATATAAATGTGAGCTAATAAATGAATACAGTATGTCAGATTCAGATAGATTTCTATCACCTTTTGAATCTCTATTACAATTGCCCTTTCTACACACTTTGTGAATTTTCTTAGTAATGGTAATAGAGTAGCCAATACTTAAGCTTGCTTATTCTGTTAACTTACACAAGTAGCTTACAAATCCTAAGGTTTACAATGAGGTCTATGAGAATGGTAGGACAATAATTTATACTAACCTCTTGGTTAGTTCTAAACAAGACTCCTGGTTACAAAGTTTTGCTAAGCTTTAGTGTGAATCCATGAGAATAATATTCTACAATTACATTTTTAGACTAGACTTTGCAGGCATGGGTATTGAATGAAAGCAGTCTCAATACAAATTATATTTTCAATCAATATAGTGTCACTTGTCCATTATTCTGTACTAGTCCATATAGACCAGTGGTTCTTAACCTTTTTGGAGGTACTGAACCCCACCAGTTTCATATGCGCATTCACCGAACCCTTCTTAATTGGAAAAATAAAATATGATTTTTAAAATTCAAAACATAGGTATATATTTATACATAGGTGCACAAAATGAACAAAACCATTAAGAACAAAGAACAAAACCATTAAAACATGATTTTCACACAAAAACAAAATAATGAATATTTACCGCAAATCAGTGTGACTTCTGCTGTTGTCTTTCAGAGGCCAGTTCAGAAATACGCGGCATTACCTTGGCAAGTGCCACTCTCATGTCATTTTCGCAACAAAGTCTGTTCCTTTTCTTCGTCTTTATGTCCAGCATCCTCGAAAAGGATTGCTCGCAAAGATATGTTGTAACAAACGGTATGAAAATTCATCCCCCATAGTAATTCATCCCCCATATATTAATTCATCCCCCATAGTAATTCATCCCCCATATAGTAATTCATCCCCCATATAGTAATTCATCCCCATAGTAATTCATCCCCCCATATAGTAATTCATCCCCCCATATAGTAATTCATCCCCCCATATAGTAATTCATCCCCCATATAGTAATTCATCCCCCATATAGTAATTCATCCCCCATATAGTAATTCATCCCCCATATAGTAATACACCCCCCATATAGTAATACATCCCCCATATAGTAATACATCCCCCATATAGTAATACATCCCCCATATAGTAATTCATCCCCCATATAATAATTCATCCCCCATATAGTAATTCATCCCCCCTATAGTAATTCATTCCCCATATTAATTCATCCCCCATATTAAGTCCCCAAGTCCCCCCTGTGTCAATTCACTTACCTTTGCTCCGCGCGTTCCTCTCGCTGTATTCCCGCGTCGTTCCGTTCTTCAGAGCGGACTGTGAGAGGAGCCTAGCTCCTCTCACGTTCGTCACGCTGCCCCGCCTACACACATCCTGACAGCCAATCACTGGCTATCAGGATGTGAGTGGCAGCGAGACTGGCCAATCATTGCATTTGAGTCCCTGCCGCCCGAGAGGAGGGAGGGGAGCGGGCGCCCGACACACAAGAGCCGCGGCTTGCCGACCACTGGGCATGTCATCACAAATCATATGAGTCGGGTGTGGGTCACCTCCGCCGAACCCCCGAGACTGACTCACCGAACCCCTGGGGTTCGATCGAACCCAGGTTAAGAACCACTGATATAGACCATGGTTTTTCAACCAGGGCTCCATGGAACCCTAAGGTTCTTCTAGAGGTTGATAGGGGTTCCTTGAGCAATTTCTGACTGTCAGATAAATTCCCAATGACACCATTTATCTTTTTAGCTATCTGTAGAGGGGTAATTCTTCCCGATGACCACAAGTGTGAGAAGTATCCCTCCCACTGACCATCACACTAATGTATCATTAATTGTAGATATAGTCATTTTTAGTAGGGGTTCCCTGAGACCAGAAAATTATTTAAATGGTATCTTTGATCTCTGTGTTGAAAATGTTGAGAAAGGCTGATGTGGGCCAGGGGCGGACTGACAACTCATGGGGCCCCCCGGGCAATAGGGGATCATGGGGCCCCTATGTCCTTGCCCAAACTCAAAAAAGCCTATGAAAAAGGTACCAGGGGCATCTCATGGGGCCCCCTACTGACCCTGGGCCCTCGGGCAGTGCCCGAGTTTCCAAATGGTCAGTCCGCCCCTGATATGGACTATTGTAGCATACCAATGTACAACCATGACTTCAGCAGGACAGTGGAGTTGCTTTACTAAAGACAAATAGACTGCTCAATTTACAATGGAAGATGCACTTTGCAAGGAAATTTGCCCTAGAGCTGAAGCTCTGTAAACTTCCATCATCCAATTATATGCAAGCAAAAATGCTTTTTTTTTAAATTTCATTGCATGTGATTTGGTATTCTTTGCAAAGTGAAACTCAAGAGCAAATTATCTTGCAAAAGGAAAAGTCTATTTGCCTTTAGAAAATCAACTCCAGGTTGTTGTGTCTACTATAAAAATGAGACATAATTATATACCAATGAAAAGAAACACTAGTTCTCCCTTTTCCAAACTCTTTTTGGTAATTTCTATAACTCAGTTTTGCAATACCTATTTTTAATATCTAAACATTCTTCCTTATAATGCTTTATACATAGACATACGCTCATTATAACATACACATTTTATTTCAGTTTACGTGAGTATCTAAACATGCTGTTCTGTGGTTTTAGTAAAACTCATAGTTAATTATTTTAAATTCTTCCCAGTTTTCATTCAAGGAGCACTTGATGCCAAGAGTAACAATTAAAGTGGAATATTGCCAGATGAACCTGCAAGAGCAGCAATAAAAATGTTATGATAGCAAAACTAAAGCCATAATAATTATATAGGATATGTTAAGATAATACAACAGCAACTCTTACATATTAATATTTGAAGGCATGGTGGTGGTTAGACCATTTTATTGTGTCATCTCCTTCCTTCAAAAAGAGATTTTTAGTACAGACTTATAAAATAATATATTTTCTGTCCTTAATTTTCTGTATATAAAAGTAACAACCAATTAGAAATTTCATGTGCACTATACAACACAATATTTTTAAAGATACACTCATACACTTAAAGTACTCTATGTCACACGTGATTACAAAATTTGATGGTATAGAATTTCATATAACATCTTTCATCTGTGAAGACCTAACCAAAAAAAAAGTAAGAAGATGCTTAAATATTTAGCAATTTGTCTGCTCCTGGAATTTTTGCAGAGACCCGTATGCTCTCTAAGATTTTGTCTGCATCTGAGGACTTTGATTCAGTTTACAATTTTCATCAGGAGGGTTGGGGTTTTAATCAATCACTTATACCTTCAGTTAACCTTTAACCCATTTATTATATAAACCAGCAAACGTACCTCATCCCTAATATATCGTACAAAGAACCACAAAAAACAAATGGGACTTTACTGGTACAGAAAACAGACAACCTCATATTACTGTATAAAACATGTTTATTAAAACATATCTTCCAAAAATGTACCATAAAAATAGTATTTTAGCTAGTCAGCCCAATAAATTACAGCATTATATGTTTTGACATCTAAGTCCTCCAGAGGTCGACGTGTTTTGCTTATTAGCTTCCTTAGGACCTCAAAAGAGTTGGAAGCAAAGAAGTCCAATGTCCTAGCTGGAAGATACATATATGCATATATATATACACAACATTAGTCATATTGTTGTAATTATTACATATTCTTTACAAAGAGAAACCTTCTACACAAACTCACATGTTAACATGAGCAGTAAGATAGGGTAGCAGCATCCACACAAAGGTTTAAATGGTCATCGTTAAACCTCCTCACACCATCCCTCGTACCCCACAAAGTGAGGCTCTGTAAATATACCAAATGATCATGTTCCATCCTAAGACAGAAAAGGGGGGGGGGGGAGAAAAGGAGAGAAAGGGGAAACAATAAAAGTCCCAAATATGATTCACACTCAGTAACTCACTGAAAAAAGAGGCAGACAGAAAATCTATCCACATGCCGATGTCATTCATATGTGATATATCCTGTGCACACTCTCCACAATGCAGTCTCAATACAACAATAAAGAGTCAGTTGGAACCTCCATATTTCCATCAATACCACTCAGCATCCGATTAGTAGACTCATACCTGGTAATCCCAACATCAAGGTAGAAATAGGAAAAGTCCACCAATGGGTAGTAATTATGTAGTATCACTAAATTGCTTGTGCAATAACTCTTCTATGTCAGTCATTAGGATTATCAGCATATGGATCCTATATTCACATAAATATGTAGCCATATTCAATAAACGATACTGTCCCCAGTTCAAACCACTCCATACAACAAACTAACTCAAATTAGCATCTGTCATACCTATAATACACCGAGTAACAGCACTCGTCCTCTATGTGCGTCTTTCCCCGCTGGCGCCAAAACTGTCATCTATCGGGGCATTTAAATGATGTCATCACTCAAGGCCAGAGTCATCCATCCAGTGGGAAAGAACTGCTCATCCCGCGGTCAGTGCGCATCACAAATGCACGTCTACATCACTTCTACCCTTACCAGTCATAGGGCGGATATGCCTCCTCACATCTAGAAGACGGCCATGACACTTACAATGAAGGAAATAAGTATTTGATCCCCTGCTGATTTTGAATGTTTGCCCACTCACAAAGAAATTATCAGTCTAAAAATTGAATGGTAGGTGTATTGTAACACAGAATAACAAAAAATTCAAACAAAATGCATGTCTAGCAAATTATGCACTGATTTGACTGTGCATGAGGGAAATAAGTATTTGATCTCCAATCATTCAGCAGGATTTTTGGCTACCAGGTGTCTTTCATACAGCTAACAAGCTGAGATTAGAAGCAGTCTCTTAAAGGGAGTGCTGCTAATCTCATTTTGTTACCTGTATAAAAGACACCTGTCCACAGGAGCAATCAAACAATCAGATTCCAAACTCTCCATCATGGAAAAGGCCAACGAGGTGTCCAAGGACAACAACAAAGTGCCACATAGTGGTGAAACATGGCACCACTCAGCTTCCACCACTTCAACTCCACCACCTTGGTGGACCTAGGGCCAATAACATTCTGGTCCCCCAGATATTATCCAAACTTCATCCATTACAATCTCATGGGCAGAATAAAATACAGATTGAATACCAATTAACTGTATTTGTAAATTCCCCCATATTTGAGAAACCCACAGGATCCCCAATGGAGATGATGAAGGGGCCAAGGGCACAAACATCTACCCAGATCAGACCAAAAGTAGACATCACAAACCCCAGAAAGACCGCCCTACATGACACGTTGCATCAATGTGGAGAATCATTATTTATCAAAATTAAACAAAAAGATTTGTACAAAACAACATAACAATCACCCCACATCACCGTTCTCACAAATAGGATTTGTGGCAACAACAAGGGTTAAATAATTGTAAGCCAACCCCATAACACAATCATAACCGGGGAACATCAGATATCTCCTGAGAAAGCACACAGAACATCCACAACATCTGAAACTACCTACCTTATAAGAAGGGTGTATAACTCAATGCCTCATTAAGGCCAAGGGGGAGGTTGCATTTAAAGTATATATCCATCTTGCCTCTTTTTGAAAAACCTTTTGATCAAAATTTCCACCACGAGGATCCTCCAAAACCCTTTCAGAGGCTGCAAATCATATCATATCTGTATTATGACCATATTTCAGAGCCACATGTCGTCCAATAGGTGTGTAAAGCATATTTCTTCAAATATAACAAATGTGGTCACATAGCTTTCTCCAAAAGTTTCTAATGGTTTTACCCAGAATAAAAGGCACTGCATTTACAAAACATTATGTATATTACACCTATGGTTTGGCAATCCACAAATTACCGTTCTGTGTGTTCTCCCATTAGGTAAAATGATAGATCTCCAAAATCCACGGACAGTAGTCGCACGATCCACACTTGAAAGTACCCTTTTTCCCCTCAATATGGATGGCCTGTCCTAGAAATGACTCCTGACAAGGCAGTCCTTGAGTGATCTAGACCTTTGAATGTAATTTGAGGATAATCCCTAATATATTTGTTTGCAATAGGGTCATCAGTTAATAGATGCCAATGCTTCTGTATGGCATCTCTAATTTTCTGATGTTGATTAAAAAAAGTAGTAACAATTCTGACCAGATCCTGTTGAGTACTTTCTTGTTGTCCAAACAACAAAGTATGCCTTGTCTGTAGTTTATCCCTATTGTAGGCCTTTTTAAGGAGAGTCTTTAAATAACCCCTCCTTATTAATCTTACCCTCAACGCCGCTGCTTCCTTCTCAAAAAGTTCCTCTGTGGAACAGTTGTGCCTAATCCGTACTTTTTGGGAATATGGTTTACTCCTAATAAGTAGCTGTGCATGAGCACTCCCCGCATGCAGAATGGTATTCCCCGCTGTAGTTGGCCGAGTGGTGGCCGTGTTTCGCCACTATGTGGCGCTTTGTTGTGCTTAGGGTCACTTTTCAGGTGCCTATAGTTGAGGCTGTGAGGTTTTTTAAGGAGAGCATATAAGTGTCATAGCCATTTTCCAGATGTGAGGAGGCATTTCCGCCCTATGATTGCTAAAGGTAAAAGTGATGTGGACTCACATGCGTGATTTGCGCTGACTGCGGGATGAGCGGTTCTTTCCCACTGGATGGATCACTCTGGCCTTGATTGATGACATAATTTAAATACCCCGACAGATGACAGTTTTGGCGCCAGCTGGGAAAGACGCACACAGAGTATTATACTGTAGGTATGACAGATGCTAATTTGAGTTGGCTTGTTGTATGGAGTGGTTTGAGCTGGGGACAGTATCGTTTATTGAATATGGCCACATATTTTTGTGATTATAGGATCCTTATGCTGATAATCCTAATGACTGACATAGAAGAGTTACTGCACAAGCAATTTAGTGATACTACATAATTACTACCCATTGGTGGACTTTTCCTATTTCTACCTTGATGCTGGGATTACCAGGTATGAGTCTACTAATCGGATGCTGAGTGGTATTGATGGAAATATGGAGGTTCCCACTGACTCTTTATTGTTGTAATTAGACTGCTTTGTGGAGAGTGTGCACAGGATATATTGCATATGAATGGCATCGGCATGTGGATAGATTTACTGTCTGCCTCTTTTTTCAGTG